GGGGAGAGAGATTGGGGGAGGATGAGGCCAAAGATATAATGTTGTATCTAAAATACCTGTCTGCGCTTCGTCGTTGCTGTGTTATCTGATAAGTTTTCAATTTATGGGAAGCTTTCTGTTCGTCATAACACTGTCTATCCCGGCAATTCCATAAGAAACGGTCCACCAGGATGAATATTGTTAGATGTTGCGTTTCAGTTTTAGGAGTCCTTGTTGCTTATTTTATTATGCCCAGTCGTACTTTACTAATGTATTGATTTTTACCATTGAAGGAAGTGAGTGAAGCAAGGATTATGGTCAAGTTATGATTAAAATTTGGCGTCATGTCGCTTTTCATAATTATATATGGTCCTTTTTTGTTGTTGTATACTTGAGCTTTTTTTCTTCTGATAGGCGGGTGGTTGGCGGGTGCTCGGGTGTGGTTTGTTCCTTCCACAAAATTCTATTAATAGTGTAGACTTCTGTGGTTCCTTCTTTCCTGCCAAACATGTATTGTCCTTATATCTCCCTATCTTTTGGTTTTGTTACTCCCTTGAAGTGCTTCTAATCTTCTACACTTATTTGACCTTACTGTGCTGTAAAACTATTACGTAAAATGTTAAATGTAGTCTCACCACAAATGCAATAGTCTGAGCAACTGCACATCGGTCTTTGTAATATAAAGACCTGATTATTAAATCCATTCGTCTGAAGTTTTGCAAGAGTTTGGATTGTGTTACTGGTCTACAACTTCAGTTTCCACTAGTGGTTTCTTTCAGTGTGCTTTTTCTCTCCTCTAACACTAGATGACAGTTGCTAATGTGCTTCTGTTCAAATGGAAGGAACTGAGTTTGAGATTTTATGTGTATTATGTGGGTGGTTTGCGGGTGCTCTGGAGTGGTTTGCTCCTTCTTTCCTATCAAACATCTTTCGTCATTTTCTCTCCTCCTATTTTGTGTTTGTTTCTCTCTTGTAACATCTCTAGTCTTCGGCACTCATACGACCCTATTGTATTGCAAGTGCCGGAAAACTCTTACTAAAAAAATATTTTAAAAAACAAAACAAAACTTTTTTTGTGTGTTTGCTACTCTCTTGTAACACATCTCGTCTTCGGCACTTATATGACCTTATTGTATTGCAAGTGCCGTAAAACTCTTATCAAAACTAAAGCTTTATGTAGTATGATGTAAACGTTGGAGATTAGTAGTGTTTTGAAAACTTACCGTCGGGTCGATGCACATGGAATTGTCCTGTTCTTTCCTCGTTGTTATCTATATTTTTCCATAACGAGCCAAATCCCCTTTCCGTGCATGGAGGTTTATGATGTCTTTGATGCCCTTTGAGGTGATTAACCCTTGCAAGATTCCCTGTCCTGTAAAGGTTTCTTTTAACAGTTAATGAGGGCAAAAATAAAGAATCCAAAAAGAATCCCGAAGAAAAAGCCCACATGATGTTCTGAAGCAATAATATGATAATGAGATAAAGTTGAGTTATGCATTGCTGAGTCAGCAAAATCTGTATTACGATAAAGGTAAAAGGATTCGAGATTGAAGATTCACCGCCCAGGTGCATGCACTCACTCTGTGCATTTTTTTTTGGGGGGGGGGGGGGGGGGAGGTGGGATTCTTTTTCCTATTTTCTTTTTGAGAAAGGGGATGATGTTGTTGCACGATTATTTGCATACCTTATCCAATACAGACATATTGTCAATTAACACACCTTTACAAAATATGTTGGGTCCATTTCCTATCACTCCTTCTCAGGCAAGTAAGTCATTCTAAGGGCAGAACTCAAAAAGAAAAGATAAATAAAAATTTTTTAAAGGGGGATGGGGGGTGGACAATAACAATGGAAACGCCCTTGCCTTCCATAGTTCTTATGAACGGGTTGATTTTGTTTTCATTGAACCAGTTCAAGGATTGTGCCTCTAACTAGTGTTTCGTGAATCTTTTTGCTGTCCCCCTCCCACCCCTTTCCTCCTTTTTAACAAAGGGAAAAATAAAGAAAGCCCGATTCCCTGTAAGGACTTCTCTGTTGACATCCACCCCTTGACGCTCATATGACCGTATGCAGTTGCGAGCGCCATATAACATCTACTAAACACTGGCGTTATCCTATTCTTTCACATACTGTACAATTTCTTCCTCTCACAGGGAATGGTTGAACGGCGCCCCTGGTGGCTCCCATTTCTTTTCTTCTCCTCTGTCATATCTATATGTCTTACCTTTCTCAGTTCTAAAAGACTGTTATTGTATTCGTGTGTTTCTCTATACTAAAACAAACAAAATAAAAAGAATTTTTTGTAAATAATTATGTAGATGGCTTGGAAGGGGGGGGGGGTGGCTTTATT